TGCATTGCACGTGCATCAACTAGTTATGAATATAAGAGGTATAAAGTATATAGTACCTACCAAACACTCTGAGGAGATGGAAAAGAAAAAGAAAAAGAAACAAAAAATAGACAGTAAAATTTCGGAAAAAAGACAAACAATCTATCTTTGATTGACATTTGAGTCATTTTATAAAACATTTGTGCGTGCTCTTTTATGTACTGTGACTTGGCGTGGCTTTTGTCATTGAATGATATCTGATTGTAATGAAAACCTATGTTCGATTGTCCCATGAAAAAATAGAATTTCCAGTCAAAAAGATTAGTACTTTTTCTGAAATTAAGACACCAAGGGTATATATTTGTTCAGCTGTCATCAAATGTCGTAAAAGGTAATATGAAAACAATGAGAGTGTTCCTCCAGAAATCAATATACATTATTGAGCCCCCCATTATTTCAAATCCTGTTCATATTTTTAGCAACTAGCAAGCATCTTCCGAATTATTTATTTATTTATTTTTTTTGCATATTGAATCACACTACAAGTTCTGCCTTAGCCAATTACGGGGGGACACCTGTCCCTATATTGACCCTGTGCAATTTTCCCGCACGTGGGGAATTTTCCATATCATATTAGGTTTGATAATGCTATTACAAGGCGGCTGATTTTAAATCTAAGTTAAACAATAGCTCTACGTAGATCCAGTTTACGGTTGAGATACATTTTGAGATTATAGGAATAGAAACGAAATTTGAACTGCGAATAGAGAGAAATAGGCTAAAAACAAGAACGAACGATCAAAAAAGGATCAAAAATTAATTCGAACCCACTGATTTTACGATGTATCCTTTTTACGGATTTATTCACTTATGTGGAGCTTAAAGGCAGTCATCAATCATTTCCTAAGATAGAACAATTTGTCTCTTACAAAAGCAGCTCAACAATTTGTAAGAGTTCTAATTCAATATGGTGTTTTTGTACTCGAAGAACAGAAAAATAATTTAGAGAGAGAAGTGAGATTGGAAGCAAAATTAGGTTTAAAATTGTCAAGTTACATAGACAATGTTCTACATTAATTTACGGTACCACGAAAGAGATTTTAACTTATTATTCTTCTTTAATCATACTTAGAGTCATCAATCCAGTATATCATAATATTACAAGAAACATGGAAAAAAGTTCAACCAAAAGCAAATGAAAATAAGACAAGACTCAATTGTTTAATTTTCCATAACAGAACAAAGCTCAATTGAGCCATAATCAAGCAACTCCTCAATCATCTGCTCTATATGATCATCTTCAAGTGCCTTAAGTTCTTGTCCACTCCCCATTGGAACATTCTCTTTATAAATGCAGTCTTCTCTGTTAGTACATGAAGATTGTTCTGCTGCATTTAGTTGCTTTATAGGTTGTTTCTTGGCCATTTTGACTGATGTCATTTGACATTTTTGTAGTTTTGCCATCAATGTAGCTGAAAGAAGCTTGGCCGATGATGTTTGAGGCTCATTGGGGTTGTACGAAAAGTTTGTTCGTGCTCTTGGCCCGCACATGATCCTTGCAGCCTCATCGTAGGCTCTTGCTGCATCCTCTGCCGTCTCGAACGTCCCCAGCCATACTCTAGTCTTCCTACACACGTAAACAACTGTATTAAGTCATGTCCACTTGTCGCTACAGATTTTTTACTATATTTTTCGTCGAACCTCTTTTTCTTATTTCGAAGGAAAACGTTCCCTTAGATCTCTTTATATAAGATAATGAAGGAGACAAAGGTGATTTAATACAAAATCTACAATCCATGACGAGTGCAGTAGTACTCGAGCCTTCAGATATCGTTTCACTCACGACTTTCACTAGCAAAAGCTAAAAAGAAATGTTCACAATATCAAATGCACTGATTTAGACAAAAAGTAGAACTTAGGAAGAGAGAATTTACAATAACGGATGGCGAATTTCGGACACCCACGAGCCCCACTGACGCTGGCGGACACCCCGGTATCGTTGCTGCGGTCTAGCCATGGCTAGATAAGTATAGCAGAAAGTTTAGAGAGCAAAAAATGGAAAGTGTTTGTGATATGTGTCTGAGAGAGAATGAGAGTGGCAACAGAGATTGTGAGGATTGGAATGAAAAGGGTTGAGGGTTTTTGTAAGCAATCTTTGCGGCCTTCTACTGTGGGATTGGGTCCACGTGACCTTCTATTCTTTAGTTTCTTTCCTTCCCAATAAAAGTGAAAAAAATTATAAAAAATGTAAAAGAAAAAAAAAGAGGTTTTAGATAAAGTAATTCAACATAATACCTCATAATGCAAATGTCTCTATTCGACATCATTCATTTATAAAACTATCCTTGTGACATGCCTTTAGTGCTTGTTTGGGAGAGATTTTTTGGGGAATAATTGCTTTTGAATAGTGATATGATGGGAAATGTGTGGTTAAAAAAGAAGAAAAAAATTATTGATGTGGTGGAAAATATTATTTTATTGAAAAATGTGTGGTTGAAAATGAGAATTAATTTGAGAACCA